GGCGCCCGCCGCCCCTGCCGCGGGACGCGCGGGTCACCCACAGCTCGGGGCAGGACTACGAGGCGCTGCGGCAGGAGTGCCGGCGCCGGGGGTTGCTCTTCGAGGACCCCGACTTCCCCGCCGCCGACTCCTCGCTCTTCTTCAGCCAAAAGCCGCCCGTTCCCTTCGTCTGGAAGAGGCCCGGGGTGAGTACGCCGCTTTTTAAAGGACCGGATATAAATCCTCTTCTCTTTGGCCTTCGATACAGCCTTATTGTACAGACACGCTTTGTGTACCTACGCGTATACACACACGCGTCGACCACTTTTAATCAGCTCCCTCTCTCGGACGTTGTTGCCAAACAAAAGCAAACTTAAGATGGAAATAAGGGGACATGCAAGGAATTGAGGGCGAAATACATTATGAGGATGTTACAAACATTTAAAAACCAAGTGCCACTAATGTGGGCAATTCATAACTAAAGCGAAGCGTAAAAAAAAATTCAAAATATTTAAAGCATGAAACTCTCGTACTTCCTTTCTTGCCTACATCACGAAATGCACTGAGAGACCGTGACTACGTGCCCTGGTTACCGAGCCGTTCAGCAGTCGCCAAGGGCTTGATGAGTGTCTTTCAATGCATCTTGCATAACGATCAGTAATAACGCAATGATAGCCTGAAGTTTCGCTAATCCTTTGCTCTGAGGTCACAAAACCAACATCACTCTAGGTTCCTTCTCCCCATTTAACTCTGTGTCTAGTAGCCACAAAAAATTTGCTGCTACATTTCATTTCCTTGTTAATGATTAAGGCATTTACTCTTTTTTTCTCCATGGTCTGAAAGCTTCTCCTTTAATAAAAAAACTTTCCTTTACCAATAGTGATAGCAAGAGAGAAAAAGAACAAAAATGGGCTTAAAAATGGCTTTAAAACTTGGCTTAATCTGCAGTGCTAGATCTTTGTGTGTGATCACTGATGTAGTGCCACTACAGCGCAGAGCTGACGTCATTACCGCTGCACGGACGTCAGCTGTGAGAAAACAGGGGACCCTCGCACGCTGCATGCGCCAGCAACAGCAAGCCCAGTCCTCTGGGCCTCTGGCCCTGCTTGCCACCTCTTTCCCCTCTCGCCTTCCCTTCTGCAAGGACGGGCACCCTCTGCCAGCGCTGCCACAGCTGCTTTTGCCTCCCGGGCTGGGATGCTTTCGGCAAAGCGAGACGGCTCAGCCGTTCTGCAGCGCGGTGGTGTGTCCAGAGCACCAGCGCCCGCGCTGCTGGACTGGGAAGAACGGCTTCACTTTGGCCAGACGTCAGGTGGCAGTTTGTCATTTTTGCCTGCGGTAGCCGGGGCAGTGGTTAATCTGTTGTACTTGGTGCTTCCTCCTTTGGGACCTTTGTAAGATGAACTGGGAATATTTCCAGGATGAAAAAATTACCTGAAATAGGATTTGCCTTTAGGCTCCAAATTCCACCACGCAAAAAGGTGAACTTTTGTGAGCAGCATAAGAAGACATATAGCTCAGGGGAGGCTGGGAGGATGTATGAGGACAAGGTTTGAGTTACGCCTCCTCTGGCTCCTCAGCATTTCAGCTACATCAGTTTCATCTTTAATACCCACCAGGAACTGCAGTAAAGTAGAGGCTCTGTAACAACATTTTGAATGGACAAGTTTTACTTCGCAAGTGGGATATAGGCCTGGAGCAAGTGCCAGGCTGGGTACCATGGCTCAGCTGGCAAAGCCAGCGTGATCACAAGAGCCCTCCCTTTCTGAATGTGCGCGCGTGTTCAAACTGCTTTTCACAGGGACTGATTTTCACCTACCAGTATTTTACAGTAGCTTGAATGAAGACTGGCACAATTAATATGGGTGATTACAGGGCCAAATACTGTTTCTCCTCAGATTAACAATCAATAAGAGTTTAATCTTTTGTAACGAGGTGAGAGAGGGCTTTCTCATCAGTTTGAGATGTGTATAACTGCACGTATACATGTAAGTTCACAACGTGAACCAGATCCTCAGCTAACACTAATCTCTAGATCTCCCACTGTAATCAGTGAGCTACACTGATTTGTACCAGCTGGATATCTAGCCCTCTGGATAAATCTTCCGTGCGCTAAGATTCAGGAAGATACTTAGTAATTTTGTTTTGCTGTCTGTTTTTATTACAAATGAAACCTTTAAAACTGAATCTTAAATTAGAATCTCTTCTCCTCTCCTCTCCTCTCGTCTCCTTTCCCCTTCCCTTCCTTTCCCTTCCCTTCCCTTCCCTTCTCCCTTCCTTTCTCCGTTCTACTTTTTTCTTTTCTTTCTTTTCTTTTTCTTTTTCTTTTCTTTTTTCTTTCCTTTTCCTTTTCCTTTTCCTTTTCCTTTTCCTTTTCCTTTTCCTTTTCCTTTTCCTTTTCCTTTTCCTTTTCCTTTTCCTTTTCCTTTTCCTTTTCCTTTTCCTTTTCCTTTTCCTTTTCCTTTTCCTTTTCCTTTTCCTTTTCCTTTTCCTTTTCCTTTTCCTTTTCCTTTTCCTTTTCCTTTTCCTTTTCCTTTTCCTTTTCCTTTTCCTTTTCCTTTTCCTTTTCCTTTTCCTTTTCCTTTTCCTTTTCCTTTTCCTTTTCCTTTTCCTTTTCCTTTTCCTTTTCCTTTTCCTTTTCCTTTTCCTTTTCCTTTTCCTTTTCCTTTTCCTTTTCCTTTTCCTTTTCCTTTTCCTTTTCCTTTTCCTTTTCCTTTTCCTTTTCCTTTTCCTTTTCCTTTTCCTTTTCCTTTTCCTTTTCCTTTTCCTTTTCCTTTTCCTTTTCCTTTTCCTTTTCCTTTTCCTTTTCCTTTTCCTTTTCCTTTTTTTTCCTTTTTTCCTTTTCCTTTTCCTTTTCCTTTTCCTTTTGGCTGACCAAACAAACAAAAAGAAAGACAATTGTAAGACTAATGCCAAATGAACGCATGGTGTAAAGAAGGAATTTCTCCTGATCCAAACAGCCACTGGCAAGTGGTATGAGCAGATCTGTATGCTGGAACCAGGCAGAGAAATCTAGTCACAAATATAAGGCCACTTAAACCATAAGGCCAATTAAATAAGGCCACTTAAAAAGCCTCCCTGCCCAGCCTTTCTTAGGGCTCCAGGTGTGTCAGAGACACATCCCAGGGGATGCAATTCTTCTTTCTTTGAGTCAAAAGAAACATAGCTTCACTGCAATAGTAGGAGAGTTATGGGTCACCTCCTTTCATCTCTGTAATATGAGAATTACACCTTCCTGCTTCTAGGCAATTTCCTTGTGCAGGCAAATCCTTGAATTACTGTGTTGTGGGTGTGAATGCAAGATTTAGTTCTGGGTTTTGTTCTTTAACAATGCTGAAAACACTGAGACACATTATTATACCATCCAGTCTGAAAACCTCTTTAATATTAGTTTTGCAAAGTACATTCATAATCCATAGAGCTTGGCTTTCTTTTGCATATCAGAGAACCTTGTACAGGTCCCTTCAAAATACTTTACATTCCTTTTAATTGAGCTTGTAATTATTGTTTGCTTTAGACATAGGAGACTGAAAATACTTTTCCATATGTCAACTGTAGAGCTGTGTAATAAGCTGTTTCCCAGACCTCTCGGGGAACAAGAGTGAGAGGGAATGAGCTGCGTTGACCTAAAGCCTTACCCCCAGAAGCAGTCTGGGCACTCCTGTGCACCTGTATGCTCTCAGTGAGGAACACATTGCTGAGGCTTTAATTTGTAGGCAAAACCAGGCTCCAAACCAGCCATGAACAGTTTCGGTGTTCTCTGGTGCGTGAATCCTCCGTCCCTGCGAGCGAGAGCTGCCGCTGCGAATCACTGCTGCCTGCCTGCGAGCAAGAAGGGTGCTTTTAGTGTGCCGCTGCGCGGAGAAGAAACTAAAGTCTCCTGTGTGGTACAAGCACTATGACCTTCTTCATCCACGCTGGAGCGGCCACCACTTTTCTGCCTGTCCTTTCCCAAGGGCCAGGCTGTCTTTTGGGTTTATGTTGATTTAACAGGCAGTCAGGAACATTGCTCTGCGGTGTGCAAAAAGAGAAACGCGCTCAACCACCCATAAAGGCATTTGGGTATCTAATGCTGAAAGCAGCAGGAGTTAGCGCCCATGCCGCACGGCGGGCTGGGAGCGATGCCGACACAGTGAGCAGGACTAAAGCTGGTCCGGGCTCAGCGAGCCCTGGCTGAGGGGCGAGCACTGCCAGCTCGCAAACCCCACAGGCACCGGGGCCTCAGCCTCAGCAGGGCACACGTGGGCATGCCGGTGCGCACACACGCATGGCCGGCAGGTTGGTTTTGGAGAGCTGCCACACGCAGGGCTGGCGTAGCCAAAGCAGCTAATTACAGGGCTCACGCTGCTCCCTAGAAGCCGGTTGCAGGGGAGCAGGGGACCTGGCAATCAGCCAGCAAACCCTCGCAGCGCTGGATTAGTTACAGTCAAGTCTGTGTTAGAGGAAAGGCTTTTCATCCCATTCCTTGCTAACATACAAAGCCATTTGGTGCAATGGAGCCATGTTTTTTAAAAGCAGAGTATAACTTATATGAGGGAACACTGGCCCCATAGTACAGCGCCAGATTTGGAGGGCGAGCGGATGCTCGAGTTAGGCTGCCCTTCAGCAGTGCACAGAAAGCCTGGCTGAATATTACTGAACAGGCTTCAAAAAAATTTTACAGTTGATGGGCTTGGTCACCTTTCCTTGGAGCTGCTTGGGAACTGCTATGTACAGTGCTTGCCATGAGAATTATGTTTCCCAAGGAGCTAAAATAAAGCATGTTATTAAAGCTCAGCTGCTTTATCAGCTGCTGTTAGATTTATGTCCAAGAGCAGTGAGCTGTGTTTTTTATCGTTCGTGTGCAGTCTACACATGAGTGAGCGTATTTAACAAGCAGGCGGGCCAGGTAATGAGGAGGAGCTGTTTGGTTTCCCTTTGCTTTGTGCAATGGGGACACAGGGCGCTGTGGTGCCTCCTCCCCGGCATGCCTGGGGCAATGCGGCTAGGGCACAACCTCACCGCCACTTCCTTGCCAGCTCTTTTCCCTTTACACACATGCACACACAAACATATATATGTATGTGTATATGTATATGTAGTAGGGGCAACAGGTAGTGATTTCCTTAGGACTGCTGTCTATAGGTGAGATTAATGGCAAGAGATACCTACCTTGTCCCTTTTCTCAACAGAACGCACGCTACAGTTGGGTTAACAGAGAGACATTTGCCATCTGTGTCCCACCTAGGTAAACATCTGTGCGAAGAGATACTGCATAGGTCATTTCCATCCTTGTCACACCACTCTAGCAAGAGTAGAATAGAAATTTAGACCTGCCATGCTCCAGGTTTTATAGGAGAGCCCCTAAACAACAGTGCTGACAAGGATGTGCAGATTTTTCTCTAGAAGATCAGGTCATCTATCGAATCCCTCAAATACACAGTCTGGAGAGCACTCAGGGCAGTCTGAGCTCCCCTTTGAGCAGCATTGTGGGTGTTGAGTTGGGAACATCCAAAGCAGAGAGTTTAAATTGCTGTAGCTGGAGCCAAGGGCATGAGACTCCTCTGTGAGTCGAGCAGGGAATGGCACTTCAGACACCTTCACCAGTAGTTTGCAAATGTACCCCTCTCCCCTCCTGTTTGCCCCGTCCATGAGATGGTCTTCAACTACTCAGCCCTTCTGAAGACTTTCAGCAGTTTGGAGAAATGCCACCCAGTTTGGCCCAAGCTACCAAACAGAGGAGCAACTTCCCTGGGACAAGATCACTCGCAAACAGGATCAGGTGTGGAAAGTGTGCTCACGTAAACAGGGAGCGAATGCCTTGGCACAGTTTGCTATGATGCTGGCCATCTCTTCTGGTGTATGGCCACCTCATGGAAAGTGGATGGTTACTATAAAATGTACTGAACAGGTATGAGGAAAACAAGAAGCGGTGCTGACATTTTTCTAGGCAATTGCAGTAGTTAGAAGACGGAACAGGCTCTTCTAGTCTTTTTTTCCCTGTTTAATTTCCTCTTTTTTTGCAAATGAGCCCTTAAGAAGTTTCTGCGGCTTACATAAAATAGCTTTGTGCAGTAGCATCTGCCATAGGGTATCAAGGGCTGACTGATTAAATAAAGGTATACTTCTCTAGTAGTGTATTGGAGGGCCTGCTCCTCCTTTTTCTGTTGGGTTCATTCTGTTCAATTCAATTTACAGTTTGTAGGAGAGGGGAGAAGAGAGCCACATTTAGTGGTTTACCAATGCAATTTTCCTATCCAGCTGTGGTACTTGTAATTGAATTAAAACAGTCAAATGAATGCTTCTAAAACGATTTTAATGCCACCACGATCAGTCCCTCTGACCTCTGAGCACACAAGGGTGGGTAGCGTTAACTCCTACTAAAAAACAGCTTGACTTTGTAAAACAAACAAGGCTGGAGTCCACCTGTTTTGTTTGCTTATTTGAGGAGGAAATAGCCTCATGTTTGTCAACCAATGTATGCTCTATGTATTACACACAGGTAGATAAAAGACTTAAGACTATATTTAAAGGAAAATCGCCAGTTTGAGCTTTTCCAGACTGTGGAGAAAAACAAAAACCCTTTAGCCAGCGTTGTATCCTAATTTCAAGATTCTGGACCAGGATGCGCTAAGATATTGTAACAATTGCCTGGAGGTGAATAAAGGGTGCCAGCCTTTCATTAGCAGCCAGCTAATTGGGAAAAAATGAGGTTAGCTGATTCTTTAATTGCTCTGCACTACATTTAATTAGCAAGGTTTCCCCACCTCATTTTCATGGTGGCTACACTGCCGTAGGATAGTGTATTTCGTGTGGCACGCAGAGTGCTGCACATCTGGGCTCCAAATGACTGTGATGTCTTCTCTGGCATGTCTTAAATCGTCTCTGTGTCTCTCTCCTGCTCTCCCAGGACATTGTCAAAGATCCCAAGTTTATCCTTGGAGGAGCCACAAGAACTGACATCTGTCAAGGGGATCTCGGTGAGTGATTCCCCCCCGGGATAACATCTCCCCTGGCCTTTGCATCACCTTTTTTTCCACTTGAAGGGAAGAAAACTAAGTTTCTTCCCTCTTCTCGATTCACAGGTGACTGCTGGCTGTTAGCAGCCATCGCATCTCTCACACTGAATGAAAAAACTTTAGCGAGGGTGGTGCCACCAGATCAAAATTTTGGGCCAGACTATGCTGGAATATTTCACTTCCAGGTAAGACGAATGTCTAAGGCAACATGAACACACTTCTGGGCACTCAGTCATTAAATGTCACGGTCCATTTTGTGGTGGCATTGTTAGTTATGCCAGAGGAGACACTGAAAAAGGTGGAAGGTAGGGTAACTAAACTTTATTGTTTGCATTTTGAGGGGTAGCCTAGAGGACTACCTTAGCCTCCCACAGGAACACGCATAGCCATGTCTGCTTTGTAAAGAGAAATATGGCTTTAGAAATCATTTCACACGGACCAGTGGACCAGTCCTGCTCCCAGCTGCGTTCGTAGGGTTTCTGCCACCGAATGAAGTGACAGTAGGATCCAGAGAGCCTCTTAAAGCCATCCATGTCTGTGTCTGCTGCTCAAATCAAACACATCCGAAAGACGAACAGGCTGCTGATGTGGCCAGCCAGCAGCTCTGAGCCAAGGAAAATTAATGCCGTAAGCACTAGGAAAGATTGGTTTTGTCCCCTAGCCCCCTTTAGGATGTAAGGCCTTAAAGGAGTTGGACTGGGGTCTGTAGTGTGTGTGTGTGTCATAAAGACAGCTTGAAGCATAAGATGACTGCTTGCCACCAACCACATGATTGATATTATCCAAATCAGTAACTACCATACAGCTGTACACTTGTAATCTTAATCTTTTGCTTAAAAGACTTACAGATTCTGCACTTCCTTCAGGACAGCCTCACACAGTGTAAGCGGAACTGATGACTGACACATGCCTTTTAATCAAGCCTATCATTGTAATTAACTGATAATTTAAAGCACTCAGACATCAGTGTGCTAGCTTCAGGAAATGACATGCTGTCAACCAACTCACGCTCCATCCTTTCTAAATAGTTTTGGCAGCACAACGAGTGGCTGGATGTTGTGATTGACGATCGATTACCCACCTTCAAAGGCCGCTTGGTTTTCCTGCACTCAGCTGAACACAATGAATTTTGGAGTGCCTTATTAGAGAAAGCCTATGCCAAGTAAGTCTGGTGTGCCACACTGTACATACATTATTCACAGTGCAAGTTAGCAGCTTCTATCTAGTGCTTTTTTTTTTTTTTGGCGTTTGCTGCCACCCTGATCTAAAGGTGCTATGTTAGTCTAGGGTTGTACTGAGCTGACTGCAATAGGAGTTGGGTCAAAGCCTGAAACTTGGCCTTTGTGTCTCCACTGAGACCTCAAATGACGGTTCTGGCCAACTCCTGGATTTTTAACCGATTTAGCAGGTAGCAAGCCAGTGACACAGCAATAACATCCCATCTTTGCTAACCAGCCGGCATTAATGAAAGAAAACTCCCAGGCTTTAGGGATATGGGGGAATTAAGGAATTAAAAATGGAGTTAACAAGGACAGCCAAATGATCCCAATACCTCTCACATAAATCCCGGGTATATTCTGGAGTACTTCTATTGGCTTCAGTGGCATTGCTGCAATTTTACACGCACATGAGAAAGTACTCAAGCACAGTTATCTTCAAAAGGTTTAAAAGCAGGTCTCATGGTGATCGTGTGTTTTCCAGGCTCAACGGCAGCTACGAGGCTCTGAAAGGAGGCAGTACTATAGAAGCCATGGAAGATTTCACGGGGGGAGTAGGAGAAATGTATGAGGTTAAAAGAGCTCCTGACAATTTCTATGAAATCCTAGAGAAAGCTCTGAAAAGAAGCTCAATGGTGGGCTGCTCTATCGATGTAAGTAAGAAACGGGAGCAGGTTTACTCTCACTCTGGCTTGTGGTTTCTGTGTAAAAGAAAAAATAATTTGTAAAGGCTAGTTAAATTAATGACAAGCAGATGGAAAAGCACTAAACTCTGCAAATAATAGGTGTGAACTGATAGATATGTAATATTAATGTAGCCCTTAGAACAGTTGCTCAAAAGAAAAGAAAATGATTAATCACATTTCAGCATGTGATGGCCACATTATTTAAGGCAAAAAGGACATTAGTGTGAGCACCTGGCAAGAGTGAACTTTATTTCCTGGCTTATTTCCTCACTCTGGGTCAGCATTAAAGTTGGCCACAGCCTTGTGAGGATTTACTGGCTCCAGAGATGACAAAATTGATCTTCTTCTGGCCTGAATTCTGTAACAGCACCTATGGGGACTTGGGGGACTCAACACACTCTTCAGGATCAGCATGTTCATTTGGCAACAGGGACTGGGGCTTAGGGTGCATCAGATTTATCCCTCCAGAGACTGGTATCTCCCATTTTCCCACAGAAGAGGTTCCCGGTGGGTAGCAGCTGTGTAAGTGTCTTTACACTGCTCTGCCAGTGTGTCTGACCCCAGGGTAAGAGGAGCCACTCATGTGCCCTAAACTTTCTGTGAAAGATGTCATCCGCTGCTGAATACCAAGGGAGAAAGTCCCATTGCTGTTCCCAACACGGCTTCGTTGTTTGCTATGCTCAGAGGGAGATGCTGTCTGGAAACAAAAACGTGCCGGATTTCTTCACCAGAATGAGTAACTAGAGAAAGAAGTTTCAGGTCAAAGGGAAAATCCTAGTGAGCACAAAATGTTTCATTTCCCTTTTGGGCGCTTGCAGAAAAGGCAAAGCAAGTGTGTAGCCTGGGAGAGGAAGAGGGAGGCTTTCGTTTGCTCTCTGTCCAAAAACCTAATCATTACATTTGCCTCAGCTGAGGAAGACCTGTTGTATCAAATGCTCTGTCTGCTTGATTGGGAGCAAAGCTTTTCCACATTCTCTCTTTGCTCCAGACTGTACCTTCAGCTCTGGGGTTCAGTCTTTTCCGAACTGAGCTTCCCTCTCTCTCCTGATGGAGCTTTCCAGCTTGCAAGGACTATTTAAATAGTCATTGTGCTAGAGAGGGGGTGCGATAATCAGCTAGCTGATGGGACACTTTAGTTCAATCGCTGCTCCCTCAAGTGTCTCTTTGCCGGAAATGAGGTCAGGATCAACTCCTCACCTCAGTCTGAGAGCACCTTTTCTCATCTCCTACCCAACACAAAGTGCATTTGAATGAGAGTTTAGAGTGATATCCTGGAAATGTGGATGACGTTGATGCAAAATCACAGAGGCAGAGAAGTGATTTCAGCCTGAATCCTTCACCTTACAGGTCAAATTCACACTAGTTTTTGCATAAACTAAAGCCTTATTTCCTCCATGAGTAAAAGGTGCTCCAAAAAAATCTGCTCAGCTCTAGGTAATTCCCTTTCATCAAAGGGCACCATTGCACCATCAATGTCTGCAATAAGCAGACCGTTTCTCCATTCACAATACTGCTTAGCTACTGGCCTCCTACCTGGCACCTGGAAGGGACCAAGTGGCAGCAATTGCAATCTCCTCCTGAGGAGAGGTATTCACATTTCTCTTTCATATTTCAGACCAGCAGCGCTGCCGAGTCAGAAGCCAAAACCCCCTTTGGGCTTATAAAGGGCCATGCTTACTCCGTGACTGGCATCGATGAGGTGAGTCCCCACTGCCCCATGTCACTGGCATATGGCAAGAAGAGACCTGAGCAAAGACAAGGGGCTGTCCCTCAGCCTCAGGTGATGGGAGGTGACAGCCCAGGGAACCACGTCGCAGCGGGCCACGCAGCGCAGAGCCTCAGCTCCCCATGGGACTGCATGCACAGCAGCTTCTCTAGCCTGCAGCTGGAGCTGGGAGCTGGAGCAGGTGTGACAGAGGGCATTTTCTGCTTCCACTCACGCAGAAGGTATCAGCAGAGATTCTGCCGAGCTGTTCCCTGTCCTGGGAGGAGTCATCCTGCTCCAGATTCCCTTCCACCCTTCCCTCCCGCATCTCCTCTAGCAGCACACCTTTTGCCCAGCCATTACACAGCCTGTGCACACTGGAGAAGATTTGCTCCCTAGCTAGTGACACTCACTGTTTCCTTATCTGCTCTTTCCCCAGGTGAGCTATCGGGGCCGGAGAGTGCAGCTCATAAGAATAAGGAATCCCTGGGGCCAGGTGGAGTGGAACGGCCCTTGGAGTGACAGGTGCGTACTCTCTACTATACACGCTTGCTTGGCAGTGAGCTCGTACTGCAAAGACTAAAACCAAGCTGCTGGCCTGCCTCTAGTTTTCTGTGGCCCCAGCTATTTTCCAGAAAATGAAATGAGGAGCTTGCACATGCTTAACAGTATTGCTGCCATCGTAACATGTCACCCTCAACATTTTCAAAGCAGTTTGGTTAAAGAGACACCGTCAAGGTTGTTTAGCCCCCTCAAAATGTAGAATTAGCAAAAATCAAGCATGAATATAAATGGGAAAAATTATTTTTAAGACATTTCTCACAGGGAAAATATGCATTTGGAGAGTTTTCTGGCTAATCTTTTGCAAGTCTTTTACCACAGTACCTGTAACACAACATCCATATATTGTCCTACTGCAGGTAAACTGAAAAATGATGCTGTATTAGCCCTTCTAAGTAGCTTATGAGCCTCTAGCTGTGTTTACTCTGCTCTGGCTTTCTAAACATGACACTTAGTCCTTGCAGGTTATAGATGCCGTTACATTAGCCTGTATCTCTACATGGTACCCTCCAAAGTTGTGGAAAGATGCAAAACTGAGTTAAGATTGGTCTGAAAACCAGTCTGTTTTTGCCACCACAGCTAAATGAAATGCAAAGAACTAAAAAAAAAACAAAAAACTAACTGTGTCTGGTTAAAAGCAACACTGCATTTTCCCCCCAAATGTACACGTTTTCCCTATATTTTTGCACGTATGCCTGGCCTTTTTTTATTTCACTTACTTCTACTGAGTTTTCCTGATTTACACAGCTGTAGAGGAGAGAAGCTGTAACCTAACTGGCTCTTAAAAGCTGCTGAGACATCTGGTCATCCGTAGCAATCCTTTGAATGTCCTCTCCTTTAGCATGATTCAGAAATAAATTAAATACTTCTGCATCAGCCCTGATACTCTTTGTGTCAAAAAAGAAAAAAGAAGATAATTTGTTTATATAGTTAGTGATGATCTCCAAAAATGGAGAGCTTAAGATCAGGACAGGCATCCGGCAATTTGGGCTGCTTATTCAAAGCACTGTATCTGCAAAGCAGTGCTCTGATTCTGTACCTGGGAGGCTTTCTGGAGCTCAAGGCACCGGCACAAAGCTCTGTTAAGGGAGAGCAGCTTCCAGGTAAATACAGGAATCTGTATTAACATTTTGTGATGGTTACTGGAATTAAAAATTTCACACAAGGTGCCAGGTACTCCAAGTTTTTTCATATCAGATTGGAAATGCAGTACTGGCATTTCCCCTTTTTCCAAAAAGCTGTCGCAGAGTTTTTGTTTGTTTTCGGCCCAGCTACAGCTGGAGCTGTAGAGATGAATGAAGAGGCAAAGGCTTTACTGGGAACCCACATTATCCAGCAGATCTCCCTGTATAGGGCAAGGAGCCTGTTTGGTCCCCATGGGCTTCATTTGGAAGAGATATCTGACCCTAAATTAATGATAAACCTAAAAGGCGGGGAGAGGTGGTGCTACAGATGGAAAACAGATTAAGGAGTGTGACTTACCAAAACCTTGAGGTTTACCGATAGCAGTATTTCAGCTATTACACGTGACAGCAGTCCCAGCTCTGAGTACAGGGAACATCACAGACTGGGTGGTCCTGGAAGAGCATCTGGACCAGTGGACCAGTCCTGCTCCCAGCTGCGTTCGTAGGGTTTCTGCCACCGAATGAAGTGACAGTAGGATCCAGAGAGCCTCTTAAAGCCATCCATGTCTGTGTCTGCTGCTCAAATCAAACACATCCGAAAGACGAACAGGCTGCTGATGTGGCCAGCCAGCAGCTCTGAGCCAAGGAAAATTAATGCCGCATACACTAGGAAAGATTGGTTTTGTTTTCCTGCAGTTCTCCGGAGTGGCGCGCAGTCAGCCCATCTGAGCAGAAACGCTTATCGCAGACAGCGCTGGATGATGGAGAGTTCTGGTAAGCCACAGCATTTTAACATGGGTGACTCTAGTCAGAAATGGAGCTGTAAGTGGCCAACATGGGAGATGGGGAAGAAATCTGTGAGTGAGGAAATGCTCAGTTTCATCCAAAGAGAGGGCAGGTAGAAATCCCTTGGTTTTCTGTGCATCTCATCTGTGTACATGCTTATTTAATAACAGAAAGTGTTTAAAAAGTCAGCTTTGGTAATAGTATTAGCATATTCCAAATACTGTGTATCTCCCATGAATGTTAGTACCCTTTAAATCCTTATCGTGAACACGGGCAGCCTCCAGAGCTCGGGAAGGAGTATTGTATTGTGTTAGATTGCCTATGAAATGCCTTCGTTTCTGCTCTAAAGTGGGCTGAAAGGGTTAATATTAGTCATATGCTAGTAAGGAAGGAAGTGCTTAGAAGCAACACTACTTCTTACGGAAAGTAAAAGAAAACCAGCATATGTGTGAAATGATGGAAGGATTTAAGAAAAGATCAAATGAAATGAAAAAAACAACATGGTGGAAATTGCTCTCAAAGTGCAAAGTGTTCTTCATGCCAAATTTGTGATCTCAGACAGCAGATGGGTGACTTGCACATAATCCCCCTTTATATCAACCATGCTGTGCAATACAGACAGTGTGTCTGGTCACATTTTCTAGGGCCAGATGTTCATTTCTTTTACAGAGAGGTAAATTTAGAGAGGTGTTCAGTGGAGCTGCTCCAGAGCTATAGTGCAAGTTAAAGCAAACTTCACCTTTAATCTTGATATGCTTTCCTTAAAAAGTGATCTGAGATAGATAGTGCAGCCTGCGAGGTCATGTAAAAAAATTATTCTAAACTTCCACAGTTCCAGAAGGAAGTAGGTCTAGTGACAGATCTATCACTATAAGTATTTTTACACAGGATATTTTGGATTATTTTGCTATTAATATTCTTAAAGTACCACCATGTAGTGGAGATACAGGTGTGCAAGGCACACATGAGCAACGGCATCACATGAACAATGAAACTCATCCAAAGAGTCATCTGTCCAACAGAACTAGGCCAATAGCTAAATACATCCTTAAAACATTAATAAAAATGAAAGAGATTGAGCACACTCAGGCAAATATTGGCCTTCATACAGCATCTGCCAGTTCTTGAACAATCAGAGCAGAAACAAAAGCCATTGGGACTGAAATTTTCCCCAAAGGAGTTGAGTGGACAAAAACAATATATAGAAGATATGAAATGCTTCCAAAAGCAGACTGGCAAGTTTGATACCAGTGAAACTTTCCACCCAATCCATCAGACTTATTTTTCCTAATGCCTTTTGACTGATGCGTGTTTCTCTAAGGAGTGTTTGCCCCTTTACCCATTCTAAGCCACACCTTGATGGTTTTCCCCATCAGGTTTTACTTGAGCAATGAATGCTGTGTGTTCCTAAAGACATTAAAATGGACAGAGGAGGAAAGAGCAACACAGCCACTTCTCTCCTGCTTTCAGTTTGCTCCTACTGTGGTGCTTGTTGACACAATTTAGCTGAGGGGATGGAGAATGAGCTATATTCCTGCTTCTGCAGCAGGGAACTTCAGCCAGTCTGTTCACCACTCTTGGTGATGACTTGGCTTGCCTCCCTGAAAACTGGGATCATCTTTGTGAGGTATTTTGAAACCTGCTGCTAAAAATAGTGAGTAGCAAACAAGTAATCAGGTCTTCAAGAGTTCAGAACATGTTCTCCAGGGGAGACATTAGCTTTTGGTTTTGCAGTAACATCAGGTATGAGAGGGCTTTTCTCCATGTTGGCCATAACTAGTTCCTACTGAGATAGACCTGAAAGTAAGTTTTACAGTCAGGGATCTCAACAAGTATTCTCTTTGTAAGTCATTTTTTAACGTATTTGGAAGCTGAAAGGGAGCCCGGAAGACCTACCATTCACTATGTGCAGTTAACACATAGTGCAGTTAGCAGCCCTAACCCCTGCTGTATAGGTTTATGGCTCCAGCTTTTTCCTTCTGCTGACTGTATGCTAAGCAATGACTGTTTCTCTTACACAGGCTCATTTCTTTAGGTTAAAGAAGAGAAAAAGGAAGAAGAAATACTCCTGTTTGTTCTCATGTATTGTGTCTGGTTTCATCCTAGGTAGAACAGGAAGGCTAGGAGGAAGGATAGTTTAGAAAGGAAAATTTGATCAAAAGCTATGGGACGCTCACAGCAAGTGTCATATCATCAGAATGGCTTCAGTAGATGAGAAAAGGCAGCACAGCTATGGAGGAGTACAAGGGAGGAGGCAGCCAAGGTGCAAAACAGAGTCCGATAAGAACTTTTGTCTCTTTTTTTATTTGGGTTTTTGAGGACTGAAGAGAATCTTCGTGGTAACATGCTCCGTCCTGTCTCTGACCTCATTAACTACATCAAAGATATTTGGGTTGTATATTAGCAGTAATTAAGGTCAGTCTTGTCAAGGGCAAACAAGACCATGCTTCCTCCAGACGGGAAGGAGGCATCCTATTTTTGACTAAGAGATCAGTTTCTCACTCAGTCTAGTCCCTTCCCTCCTAAAAGCAGAGTCTCAGAGTCTCCTCTTGCCTATACCAGAGCAAATCCAGAAGAGCCCTAAAGAAGTTAGAACAGGTGTTTTACATCTCCATCAGCAGTAAGGAGCCAAATCTGATCCATGAAGTGTAACTGCTTCATCTGCTTTGCAGCATGTTGCCAAAGAGCCCCAAATTGCTTCATGTGCCCAGGAAATTGAGCCAGTTAGAGATAGATTTTGTTAGGCTACCCCTGCCCTAGTGCACTTAGCACTAAAGTGAGAATGAGCAGTGTCTGTGGCATGCAGAGCTAGCTATATGGGAAGAGCTAACAAGGAAAGGATTGATGCAAGGAAAGCAAATTCTGCTGTTTCTTCCCACACTAAAAACGAGTTGTAAAATGGCCCTTAGCACATGTAAATTAAAGCTACAGCAGTGTTAGTTAGTGGAGAGAGCGAGAGGCTCTTCTAGGTAGCATTTCGGAGCAGAAGACATATCCAGATGATAAATTGCCCTCTTGAAGGCCTAATACCTTGCATGGTTTATAGAGAGAGAATGGACATTTGGCCTCCCTTCGTCTTAGTGAATATGGCCTTCCTGTCATTGCAATGCCCACCAGGCAAGCTGTTTTCCCTTAGACAGCTCCCCTGCTCTGTTCCCTTTGCCCCAGGGTGGCACACCATGGCCCTGCTCCAGCAGTCCCTTCTCCTGGCTCTTAGCTTGGTCCTGCATGCCAGGCTCCTCAGCCAGTGGGCCTGTTGGTGTCTCTTTGCACTTTTACTTGCCAGCTAAGATCACATGGCTTATCTGCTTCTCAGCACGCCAATCAGCTTGCAGGCTACGTTCAAGTGGCCCAGCACAGCAGCTCAAGAACAGCTGCATTTGGGCTTTTTTTTCCTGCTTGCCATGGTCATGTACATGTACCCACCTTGGCTATAAAATAGATATACTGCAATCTGTATGACACAATGGTATGTGGCAGTGTCTACATTACCTTTCAAGGGTGGATTGGAGCCTCTACTAAAAAGTATGGGCATACGTGCTGTCCCTCTGTTTGATGTGTATTTTGGCAGGACAAGGTCCCAAGTACCCACAAGGGAGGGTAGGGTAAGCAGCTTCAGCCTAGGCTTCTTAGCAAAGGCCCAGATTCGACTTTATATGTACACATAGCATGGACAGACCACGCTGGCTAATCCGTCACCATGTGTCCCTTGAAGTGCTGTCATGTGGCCCTCACTGAGTGCACAGCTGATTTATAGGCTGATGTGGCCCCTGCACGGAGGTCTACTATCTTCTGGTCTGCTCTCAGGTTACACAGGTGCAGCCTTTAAGGCTGTGATCTGTGTAGCTGGAGGATGCTGTTGGTGAAGCATCTTTTCCCACAGCAGGTTTTACTCCAGCTGTTCAGATCCACACATGAAGGTGAGGTGGCCCTGGTATCCTGGGGACTAAGTAACTTCTGCTGGGGATCCTTAGCTGAAGTGAAGGACTGCCAGTCCCTTCCCTTGTCTTTTGTTCAGGATGAAATTTGAAGACTTCAAAGTGCATTTTGATAAAGTTGAGATCTGCAACCTCACTCCAGATGCCCTGGAAGACAGCACTCCTCACAAGTGGGAGGTGACCATCCACCAGGGGAGCTGGGTCCGGGGATCCACTGCTGGAGGATGCAGAAATTTTCTAGGTAAATAGATATTGCTTTGAAGATGAGAAGCAGGCACAGAAGTCTTTACCCAACTGCAGCCTCATCTCCCATTACCCCTTAGCCAGAACCATGGGCAAAGGACAGGCCAGCTGAATCCCACCCAGTAGGAACAAACGTTCATAGAGTCCTACTTGAGACTTTTGGGCAAAAGAATTGCTTTCTAAGAGCTAAAAGTGGAAAAAAGAGTGACAGTTAATGGAAAAAATAAATTCGAACAAAACCTCCGCTTCAGCTCTATTGTCCTTTTTGTCTTCCTTTTTTTTCTAGTAGTAGTAGTAGCGGTATTATTGTTATAATTCTGAGTCAAGAAACTTTCTGGTATGCTTTACATTGGCAGAGACTTTCTGGACAAATCCACAAATCAAACTGCATTTGACAGAGAAAGACGACGGGCAAGATGACTGCACATTCATAGCAGCTCTGATGCAAAAGGATCGCCGTAAACTCAAAAAGCTTGGCGCTGAAATGCTAACTATCGGCTACTCTATTTATGAGGTATTGCCTTGTTTTCATGGCATAGTAGCCGCGCTGTCGGCATTAGCATCTCCCTGTGGATTCATATCCCAGCCAGTCATAGTGTATTTTTAGGGCTGCAGCTCTTAAAATAGTCTTCCCCGTTATATCCAGCCCTAGGGAGAAGTGTGACTTGGTTAGGACGAACTCTTGTCAGAGGAGAATTTTTCCCTATGGGGACAGAGTTTCCCAGGATAAACTCCCCGAGTCCATTACTCTGTCCGCCCCTGCCTGGCTCTTGGAAAGCGAATTGCTTCTTATGAGCCTCTCCAGGCCCCCCACAGACAGGGCGTCCGTCCCCGCATGTGGCAGGGATGGCAAATCTCTGGAGGCCCCTTCCCCACCCACAGCAGCCCTGTGAGGGGAGAGGACCACTGCATCCTCACCAGGTAGCAAGAGCCTGGGGGCCACCAGCACATGGACAAGGGGGTGAGGGTCCTGGGGAGGGGCTTATGCCGTGCAGAGCTCAGCTTGGTGGCAGGGAAGGGGCAGAGAAGGCAGCCGTGGGTCCCCCCAGCACCATGGCCCGCCATGATGCTGGCTTCGATTCCTCCCAGAGCCCCGGTGGAGACGGACACCTGAACAAAGACTTCTTCAGGTACCACCCCTCCAAGGCAAGGAGCAAAACCTACATTAACTTGAGGGAAGTATCTGACCGTTTCAAGCTGCCGCCTGGCGATTATGTTCTTATTCCTACCACCTTCGAGCCGCACCAGGAAGCCGACTTCTGCCTGAGGATTTTCTCAGAGAAGGCGGCCATCACCGAGTAAGTCAGCCTCGAGCCTGGGCCTCCAGCGCTCTCCCAGAGCCCTGGCATGGGAAGCTCCTGGTGTCTATTTTGTATCCCTGGGATTTTTATTTGCTTGTTCACTCTTAGGTAGAAAGGTCTGAGAAAAGCTTTCAGCCTGCAGAGTGCCCTCCTGGTTAGGCTGAGAGGCCTGCCCTGCTCTCTCCAAAGTGGTTGGAAAAAATCTGTCTGCAGATGCAATTTGCCCATTTTTGCTGAATCCTTTTTTTTTTTTCTTTTGGTGGAGTGGCATTTAGGAGGGGGAATAAGCCTTGCCATGGTGAATCCGCTGGGAGCTTAACAAGGAAGAAATGCTAGCTGCCTAATACTGTTCAGTGAGCTGCAAATGCAGCAGTGTTACCGTTTGTTTCCTCTCAAAATTTGTCCAAATGACTCTTTAATATAAAAAAATAGGCTACTGAGAAAAAATTGTGCACATGCATAATGAAAAAAGAATGAGATGTAATCCTTAGCATGCAGTATATACAGGAGCTGTGCTCTCCCTGAGTCCTGCTTAAAGTCTGTTTTAAGACTTTATACCAGGATTTAATTAATGCAGAAATCTAACTGTCAGCAAAAGGGTGAATTTTACCTAAACTTAACTTGTTCAGAAAAAAATGCAGTGTTATCTTTTACCTCTGGAAAATGTACTGTATAAGCCCGCCCTTTTCCACCCTGAGCAGATATTGAACATCTTCAGATACTGAATAAGGTTTTCTTTTCTCCAGGGATCTAGATGAAAATGTTGCCATTGATCTCCCTGAGGTAAGTCTACAGAGTTAAAATAGCAAGGGGATTGCTCAGCAGAAGCCAGCACACACTGCTTTTACTGTGTTTGGCTAAAACGCATTCGTTTCACAGGAACGTTACACAATTGCCAGCTTTGTGTATGTGACTGAAACATCCAGTTCTGCTGAACATGGTAAAAGAACTGTAACAATCAAAATCATAATGATAAGATGCTTCTGCGTCTGCTTCGATGCAGTTAGAATCAGACAGCAGCAAAAGCTGCCACAGGTTGGCTGAAGGTACGGCTGTTAGCACTGGTGAGGCGTATGGCCGCTAGTATCTTTTAAAATTCTGGCTGCCATGAAAAGATAAAAAAGCAGAGAATTTCCACAGGCCTACCTTTATTTAGCAGATAAACTTACCCATACCCACAGAGTGCTTGGGAGGGAAAGCTTGACGCCTGCATGTACCTAGTGAAATGATTCAATTATTTTCGCTTCTGAATGGTCTGACTGGCCTGCTGAGCACTAGCTACAGGTGACTCTGAGTCAGCGTCTGTTCAGCCGTGTCCCTGCAAATAATCTGTCGGTTGTGGTGTGATTTTCCACAGAAATAAGCTAAGCCAAGATCTCATGTGTTCCTCTTTAATAAAACTCTCCTCCAGGGACAGCTAGCTAATGTACTTGTCTGCTTCTAGGACCTCAGGGCCATGTTCAGTAGCAAAGTACATCTATTAATCTCCCCCAGTATCGCTAAAGGGCTGCATCCAAATACGAGCGCTAGGAATTGGGGAACATACATATGCCAAAAAATAAACGTAAGTGGCCAAGCAGTATCACCTGGACAGCTCTGGTAACAGCGCACTGAATAGCACACCTATAAGGCACATCATCTGCTGCTGGTGAAAACAGAGCCCGACTCCTTGCTCCTTGTGCTATGCTGTTAGGTGCCTTCTTTTTTTCCCTTTGGCCCAAGAACTGTTCTCTTGCACGGTCACCCTAGCTAAAGCAATGGCCCTACGCTGTTGCATCTCTCTCCTCGTCAGCACAGACTGATGCTTTGGCTTTATGCCTCTGTGACAGTGCTGAGGATCTCATCTGGCAGTTGCCGATGGCCCACACACTCTATCTCCGAGTTGGCTGAAGGGGCTTCCAGCCATAAGATGGCTCTACGTGAATGTGCTGACATGCTGCCACCTCCAGCTGCTGGTCACCAAGAGGGTCGGGAGGTCCCCGCCTTTGCAGCTGGGAAGAGCTCAGAAGAGCTGCAGTTGTCCGCCAGTGGCTGGAAGGACCTGGGAAGTAGAACGGTGCAGGGGCAGACAAGAAGAGAGGAGGCATTTTCTGGGGTGTGTGCGCTCTGCTTTTGAGACAGCCAAAGCAACGGCCCACTGTGTAATCGCTCAGGCAAAGGGGTGAGGGTGAGACTCCTCTAAGGCAACTTAGGTGATTGAGAGGCTTCAGGTCTGCACTCGAAGTACAGCAAAGTTCAGGAGTGTGTACTCTTATTTCAAGAGGTACTGTGCTCCTGCCACGCAAGGAGAGGCTGTGTGTAGGAGAAATGTTGCTTTTTGTGATTCTGATGTTTTCCTGTGGTTGGTATTATAGCCTCCAAATCCAACCCCAAACCAAGAAACAGAAGAGGAGAAGCAGTTCCGGGCGTTATTTGAACAGATTTCAGGAAAGGTGAGCACAAAATCCAGAATACCCTCAGGACTTGTGGGCCACAGAAACGTGTGAAAAGCGGGGAGAGACTTGTGCTCCTTCCCAAGACCACGCAAAGTGAGAATGCCACGGTTTTTTTGGACAGTACACTTAGTTGCAGTGTATTGTTTAGACACCAGATGTCACCATGGCGTACATCTAGACGGAGAAGGGTGCAGTCCTCAGTTAGCAAAAAGGACCCAAGCTAGATCTCAAGTTCTGAGGGAGCCTACCCCGCTCAGTGTGCAGCTGCAGTCTGTTTTTCTTTGAATCAGTGGTTCTTGCTTGAGAGCTCTTTCAGACACCCTTACTCAGCACTTCTGTATCTTGCCACCTCTTTGGTTTTTAACCTGCCCTGGGTTTTGTATGATTCTCTTTTCCTGTATTGCAATGAGGTACAGATGAATGATGTTTGTGATTTCTAAGGTTTTCGATATGTCTGACTCCTGAAACACTCAGGTAACCAATGCTGCTATTTTTTTACTTTAGGACATGGAGATAACTGCAGAAGAACTCGAATATATTCTGAATGCCATATTAAAAAAAAGTAAGCACTGATAACATCTGCACTTGTTCAGTGGTGTGCAGCTAAAGGCTATAAGGAACTTTTAAAAAGTTATCACTAAATTCACTTATAGATGGAAAAATAAGGGCTCTGTTACCAGCCTTGCTTAGTGCCCTCGAGCCAGCCAGGGGTGGAACCAGGAACAGATGTGGGCCGTGACCTACCCACTAGTCTGCACTACCTCCAACATGATCCATGTCAGTTTGGTGAGGCCAGTTCTCCATTGCCCTGCTCCTCTCGTCCTGAGGGACGGACACTGGGCTGGGACTTGTAACACCTGGACATGATTTCTGACTCTGCTAGGGCCCTTTATATGCCTGGAAGGTCTCTTTGAACCTCTTCTCCTGATTTACAAAGTAAGAACAAGGTTTCCTTTCGTGTCTTCAGCAAATACCTCCCCTGTTTGGGATATCTCTGTAGCATGGGCTGTCTTCCTCTTCCAGTGTACAGGTCCTCCCACAATGAGGTCTCAGAGCCAGCTAGACCTGCTAGGTACTGTATCTGCTTAGGAAATCCTATTTTATCCAACGAGTTTCGAGAAGGCATATTTGCCCCAAGGACTTATTTTTTATGATTGTCCCTTTTCAGCAAAGAACATCAAATTCAAGAATTTAAGTCTGATTTCATGCAGAAACATCATTTCTCTTATGGATGTATCCTTTCAAATAAGTGCTTATGAGGATAAATCAATACTGAATATAATTGTCCTCAGCATTAACTGTCGTAGACATTAGAGATGGATGTGGTAATGCCATAGAGGAATACTGTCCACAGGACACAAATTATGCCATAGTTGTATCCTGGTTTTTATTTTAGAAATTTAGGGTTAGGAGTCTCAAGCGCAGACAATCTTCTGCCACAGATTTCAGAGGAAGATGCTTTAATGCTGAGCACTTGTAAAAGTTGCATTATTTACATCTAGTACAGTGCATTTTCAAGCTGCGTTTTACTTGAAAAGGGTCTGTAAGAGATAATTCAGAAAAGGCTGTTTTCTGGAGGGTTAAATTCACCAAACAGAGATCTGCCCCTCACTAGAAAAAATTACTGGTCGGAAAATGAAGGATCAGAAGAAAGTTGAAAACTACTGATATCAAAGTTGTGGCTATTTTGAGAAACAGACTAAAAACTGGAAAATCTAGTCTTTCAGCTAGATACTGGAGCTCCAGGAAGTAGACGTGGGTGAGATACGTCCGTCCGCATTTAGACATTTGTGGTGTAGGTGTCTACATCTAAGCTAGCTTTCTAGACTCCCTTTGTAGATAGTGAAAAGGATGGTGTAATTATGCTCGTTCTGGAAGTGCCTGACTATGAGGGATGCTGAATGACTGCTCCGACATTAGGTGAGATGAATCACAGCCCTGGTACTTCCCCACCAGCCTTTTCCTTTGCCATCGTCTCATTTGTACTGAATTGCCTTAGCCTGGCTTCTCCTTACGTGGAACAAGTCGGTTCCATATACACATAATGAGAAACAGGACTCAGTCCTAAATTTCCTACCCTAGAAATCAAGCCTCAGTAGGGAACTGGTCCATGCTCACATCTCATCTCCACAGGGCACTGGCACACAGCCAGGGTTTGCCCTTGACCCAGAAGCACAGCAGCAGTCCTAGGTTCATTCTGTAGCATAAAACCGAATAGTTTGCATGGTTTGCAATGCTTCCAATGAAATCTTTGTGTAGTCTTGAATAGATATGGGAGACATCTCTTCATCTGCTTTGGAAGCACGGCCAACACAGTCACAACCATCCCATGCTGAACATGGCATTTGGATCACAGTGGAGGAGCCAAATGACATGAATACAACCCCGGGGCAACACTGGCAGAGTCTCCCCAGTGTTACATACCACCGAATTCCCTGGCTGCGACCAAACCTTGAAGGAGGGAGGGCTGAGGTTTTGCATGAGGCAGGAATAAAAACGTGGCAGAGGCACTTTAACACTGCTCTGGCCAACTTTTTCAAACCTATCCAGTTAAATGGACAGACTTTTTGCTGGAGTGATAACGTCCTTGGGATCTGAGGGGGCCCTCAGTAGTGTCACCAGTGTAAGTGCTTAAATAACAGCCGGCATTAGCTAGGCCCCACCTGGAGCTTTTTGGCCTGTGTGAATGCTTGCAGAGCCAGTACCCATCCGAGCAAGGGCTTTGTCCTGAAAAGTAAGACGGAAAGTGAAAAAAGGTCACGTTGGGCCCATTAGTCATGTAGCATTTCTGAGCGTGTGCCCCCTCCTGCAAGTGAGCTCTGCCTGGGGGACATCAGTAACTCAGTGAAATAAATATTAAGAAGAGCCTCATACATTAGGTAAAGGCTAGGCCAGGCACCTCCAGAATTGCTGTACAGGCATTTTTTTCAGATCATAAGGACCAGATTTTGCCAACCTCACTCTGTAAGTCCCATTAATATTTGATCGAGCCACAGTGGTAGATCCTGGTCTCTAGCTAATGATACTGAGTAGCGCATTGGTGGATTAATTCCTTTGAGTCCAGTAGCAATTTTTTTTAATCAGGTAATTTAATTCTCTGAATCATTTATAGCCCATTTGCATTCAAAGCTGTTCTCGCCTTAGAACAATCTATCTTTTTTACTCCCATGGAGCTTGCATCGCTCAGCTGTGTTATTACATCACATCATGTCTCACAAGTATCACAACAGCAGCCATGACTGCAACCACTTGAGCTGTGCCGCATGAGAAGTCCCAGTGTCTGTTTCAGTAGCACCACAGGCTTTCCAGGCAAGATCATGTTATCTCTTTAAAGAAACAACACTGGTAAATTTGTTCAGAATTGGACCTTCATGTAACACGTTCTTTTCCTTAATGCAGATTACTAGTCCAATGGCAATGGGAAACTGGAGTTTAATGAGTTCAAAGTTTTCTGGGAAAAAATGAAGAAATGGATTGTAGGTGACATCATCCGTCATATTTGCTTCTCCATTTTATTAGCTATTTCTTGGCTAGTTTAATATGTACGTGCAGACAAAAATAGAGACAGAAGTGTTTACAAAGCACAAATTTTAATCAAAAGCAAGTGTTCCAAAAGTAGCGGGGGGGGCTTCTTTTGGATAGTCAAAGACGTTCTTAGCTTTCTGTGATGCTAAACCGTAAAGGTTTGCTGGAAATAACAGAGATTTTTGTTTGGGATAAAGAATGCAACTAGCACTAATAAGGAAGCCAATCAAAACGAAACTTAAGGCTCTTCCATTGCTGTTGTTTTATAGAAGAAGAAAGTGATGATTCATGACTAGTAGGAAACAAAACATTTCATAAGTCTCTGCGTTTCCATTATTGATCTCTCAAGAGTCAACAGTACTGAAGCCTGAGGAAGTGTTAGTTCTAATTTTAATCACATTTGTCTGCCACTGTATATGGCAGCAAAAAATAAGCAGCCTCACAGGAACAGGCCACAGACTGATTATTCAAAAAAGGACATCATAATTGTTTCCTCCTGGTGATTAATAGTTATTCTGAATTCATGCTTCACCCAGGCATTTGAAATATGCAGTTCTCTGCTTCTTGTCTAGCTCATCAGAAATCACAAATACTTCTCTAGGTACTAATTTCATATCCCCCGTATCAAAAGATGCATTGTTTTTAACAAGGAGGCTTGAGAAATCCTTGTTTCCTACCGGAAGTTTTACAAGTATTTCGGATGGAAGTTTTTAAGCTGAATGTGACACCAACTCTAATTAACTCATAGTCCAGGGGAGGTTCATGTTTGTTGTCCTATTAAAAAGATGGAGCTTAATACTTACTTAATATTTAGGTCAAAATTCAAACGAGTTCTACCAGTTCTCTTGGTTGTACCATGAACATTTAGATTTTTTTATATCTAGATGCAAAGGAGTAACGACAATCTCAACTTCACATTAAGCAATTTGTTTATAGCCTTCAGGGACATAAACTTTGGAAAAAAGTGAGGAGAATGCCTCAAGAGGGAGAATTCAGAAGATGAATAAAAATACATCCTTCCCAGATAAAATTACTTTTAAGAAACTGTGGAATTGTTTATGAAGAGCAACTATTATTGAACTCTTGGGTTTGGCAGTACTTGTTTATATTTCACAACAGTCTATTCAAATGACAGCGAAGACAACTGGGACCCAGATTTGCTCCCCAGCAGTTACAAAACCAGACTGGATCTAGGCCAAAATCTTGTCAGCTTTCTTAAATGCTTATGCTACATATTTAAAGATAAATATCTTTCCTTTGCGTGTCATATCTGCGCTCCCTTTCATATGGAAATTCTGAAATTTCCACATGCTCCTTTCATAACAGAATATCTTTCTTCAATTTGACTTTGATAAATCTGGCTCCATGTCCTCCTATGAGCTTCGCAGTGCTCTAAAAGCTGCAGGTAAGTCAGTCAAGCACTACATTTTATTTGGGGAGCCTGTCGGGCAGATCCACTGTAAGTGAAGAGAGCCGCAAGAAATTATGCTGGCTGAGTTTCTCTGGACAGGGAGGAGGACTAAACCCCAGAAGGACACCTAGAGTGGAAAGCTTTGGGCCTGGAGCTGGGCCGTGGCCCCAAGCAAGCTCATGGACCCGAAGGAGAACACCAGGGAGCGGGGGGCTTTGACTAGGGCACCCCCAAGGAGAAAGGATCATGCTGATTTCTGGGGCTTGGGCTGCCTCCTTCAGGAAATGGGATATTTTTAGGAATTACTTCTGGGAGCCTGTCTGTGTGGCTTGACACTGGCTGTTTCATCCAATTATCTGAGGAGCAAACTGCAGTAAAGGAGAACGGGGCTGGCTGCTTTGGGTCTGCTATGAGAATACTTACAACGGGATGTTCCCTTATTTTGCCCCAGGGATCACCAGTCCCCCAGGGCAGTCAGTCAGAGCAGGCTTTATGTTTTTCTTGAGCTCTATTAAACTCAACAGAGCTGCATACATGCAGGGTTAGACCCTAAAACAAATCACTTCAGAGCCCATCTCCCCTTGAGGGTCGGAGGAGCTATGAGTAGGCTGTTTGTTAGGAAGAGTAAACGATGGGTTGGCATTGCCTCACAACACTATTTTTATTTAAGCACCTGGTTTTGCAGAAATCCTTACAAATTTCAAGGAGGCAGAATGGTCCCTCGTACATCAAAAGTGGATGGAAATGCATTTAGTGTTTGGAGTTCAGTATTCATTGTCAGCTAAAAGGACTTAGCAGCCAGATCATTTTCTGGATGCATGCATGCTGTAGAGTATCCTCCCGTTAACTGGTTTTCAAGATTAGTTAGTAGACATTTGCAGAGTTCTTCCTGGCCTGCAAGGTTGCTCACTTTTCCTTTGTCTGCATGTGTTTTTGGGAAGGATACCAGCTCAACAACTACCTGCTGCAGCTGATTGTTCTCCGATACTCTGATGAACAGTTCCAGATTGAATTTGATGATTTTCTGAACTGCTTAATTCGCTTAGAGAATGCAAGTCGTGAGTATCTTCCTCTTCTAGAATTTCTCACCCTTTGAAAAAAATTCTCCACTTCTGGCTGTTGTGGAGCACATTGTGTAACGTTTGAGATCAAGGGTATACATTGAACAGCTAACAAAAAGGAACTGTGTTCAGGATTTGCTTTTAGGATAGCTTTTCTCTCATAAAGTGAAAAATATCCTACTACTAAATGGAAAATTTCCCCTTGTGAATAGAGCCTGCTTCACAAACTCCGTAGCTCCACAGCAGGCATGCGGAGAATGCTGGCAAAGTCCATGATGCATCCTTTCTCGTGGCTAACCTATCCGACTAGCAGCTCCCAGCCAGCTTGTGGCCAAATCTCGCTTGCAAAAAAGTGGATGGGTTGTCTGTTTCACCAGCCTAGCCCCTAATCACCCGAGCACTCCCACTCCCCCCCCCCCCCCCCCCCCCCAGGCTCCTGCTGCCCCTTTGCTCCCATGCTGCTGGTCGAGCACGTCCTCCCAGCCTCTGTGCCCAGGCTCTCCTGCAGCGTGTGCAACTCAGGAGTAGGGCAGGCCACTCCCTGGGACCCCCACCCATGAGGGTAATGGCCCATCATGGCATTCAGCCAAGGGGGCTCTTCCTTTCATGCACGTGGTAAGAGCTTGATTTGGGATCACGGAAGGCCAAGGTTCAAATATCGCTTGCGTCTCATGCAAAGGGATACTACTAGTCACGCACTTGAGCAGAGATCTCCTGCACCTTTTACATAACTTGTCCTGCTGAAGATATGGCTTACTCTACATGGAGGCATCCTATGCCTCAATTCATTCATATGCAGGGTCTCTCTCTTTCCAGAGCAGAAGTAACAAAGATAGGTAAAATGTCTGGAAGAACTTTGAAGTGACCTTCATTGTGGCTCAGAACGCGAATCAAATTCAACCCACTCTGTGAGGATCAAAAGCAACTTCCCTGAGCAATATTTTTTAGTTTTGTTCTCTTTACTTCCTGGTTCAATTTACATTGGAATAGAATTATTAAATTGCTGAGAGATAGAAGTTAAATAAGATCTATAAAGAAATGCAAACTGCCTGGCTCATTTTCAGAGTATCATCCAAATCTGAGTGTTTAGCACAGCCAGGATGCCCACTGACAGTCAAGTCCTGAAGTGAGACTCGTACAAAGACCTAAGTCAATGAGATATTTGCTCTTGTAAGGATGTCATTTTTCAGAGCAGCTACCACCACCAATCACTCATAAGCAATCAGTGTTTGCACTAGGCCTTCCCTTTCTTTGGCACGGCCACCCATCACTGTGGGATGGGAAGCTCATGTATGAATATGAATGAGGTGTATTTATAGCTCCCACGTCCTGTTTTTCATTCCAGGGGTATTCCAGGCACTGAGTGTGAAAAACAAGGAGTTCATTAACCTGAATATAAGCGAGGTATGAGCACAGCTTCATGAACACCAACAAAATTAAGTGGCTTCTCTAGAGCTTTGTCCTCTCATAGGAACTGGAATATTTTTGCTTGAAACTTCAGGTGAAATCCATGAAAGCGCAGGGGGAGTTTGCCGTAGATTTCAGCAGAGCTGTGATTTTACTGTGCACGCACTGATTACATCTCCTCCATGCTATTTCCTTCTTTTCTTGCCCTATTGCATGTTCACAGCTTCCCAACCCCCTTTCTCAACTCCTTGCTCTTTTTTTCCCCGGGTCCCAGCTCACAACAGGGAAACAAGGAAGCAGCAGACCGGGACTGGACGTCTTTCACTCTCCTTGAATCACTGCTCAGCACTGGCTTATTGTTTCCTTGTGCTCTCTTTGTCACCCTCTGGCACATGGGCTGTCTCTCATTTCACGCTCTAGCTGAAAGATCCCTGGGGCAAGGCACAATGAATTCCCCGGCATAACAAATGTGGGAGCCCATATGGACTGCAGGGATGGAAAAGCAATCACTGCCATTGTTGTTATCTGGTGCTTGCAGAGCTCTGTCTCCTTCTCCCCAAAAGCAGGACTAAAGGCTGAATGAGTCCTGCTGGCATGCTAGGAGAGGTCTCATCCTTCTACTCCTCATCCTGACATGACATAAAAGCTTACAATCAGAGTTCCCCTTCCTTGTGCGGGTCAGCTTGGAACAAGGCAGTGCTTCTGAACGCCTTTCTTTCACTTGGTTGGAGGTGGCTGAAATTATTTATTCTAAGTTTGATCTTTCTTCTGATACTAGTTCATCAACCTGGCAATGAATATCTGAAGAAGTTTGACTGGGATGCCAAGAGTTTCTTGTAACACTTCTGCCCAAACAGCTGTGGTCCCCTTGTCATGCAGAATTTACCAGGAGCTTTTGTGTGGAGGAACATGCATGCTGCCCACCCTTTCTGGTCTCCAGCCCTGTTGTGTTCATGAGTTCAAAAATCAGATCATATTTGGGGTTTTTTGTTTGGTTGGTTTGTTTGTTTTTTGATTTTTGTTTGTTTGCTTGGTTGGTTGGGTGGGTGTTTTTTTGTTTTTTGGGTTTTTTTGATAAAGCCTGATATTGAATTTGTAACTGTGAGATGTATTTGGTTGGGGCAGACATGCATCTCAAGCAGAATCACAGAATCACAGAATCGTTTAGGTTGGAAGGGACCTCTGGAGATCATCTAGTCCAACCTCCCTGCTCAAGCAGGGTCCTCTAGAGCATATCGCCCAGCATCACATCCAGACGGGTTCTGAACATCTCCAGGGAAGGAGACTCCACTACCTCTCTGGGCAACCTGTTCCAAGGCTCAGTCACCCTCACAGTGAAGAAGTTTTTTCTCAGGTTCAGATGGAACTGCCTGTGGTTCAGTGGAACTTCCTGTGGTTCAGACCACAGGAAGCAGACTGAAACTAATGTCCTTCAGTGACCACAGGCTTTTATGAAATGGGATTGTATTTAGTCTATTTAGTACAGAGAACAATGATTAAAAATCTTTATTACTGCTTGGCTGCAGATTACTGTAAGGTGCTTTTTAAAATATAACGTTGCATAAAACTTTGTTCAATTTAGAATTTGTTTCCAGATGTACTGCACAGCTGCATAACACGTCTCCTGTCATAGCCAGCTGAATTGCAGCATGGTAGACTGTGAACTATGGAAGACTGAGAAACATATAGATGAAAATTTAATTTTGAATATTTGTAACAGAGGTCTCTAGTCCAGGCTTCCTCAGAAGGATGTTTAAGTTAAGGTCTGACAGTCTTCACAGATTTAACTTAGAGAAAAATTGTTGCTTCTCATCTCCCCTCAGTCCTTCCTCTAATACGAACCTGGCCAAAGCATGTCCCATAATCCAAATGCTGTAAAGAGTGGCACGCAGCTTGCCTTCATCTTCAGAGAAACGTGCGGCGCCCCGAGCTAGTGAACTCTCGCGTGGTGCCGTCTCCCCCAAGCAGCCAGAGTCTGTATCCCCTGCTAACCATGCCTCCAGAATAGCAGTGATATATGTCATTTCTGACGAATTAAATGTAACCCTTGGTAAGTGCTCAGAACACCATGATCCATGCAGCTATTGCTATTTTCCATCTGCCAGTTATATAGTATTATTCATGTGATGTCGGTAGCCAGTACTGATTTAAAAAATAACAATAATAGCAGCCAGGGGCTTAAGAGGCCTTTGTAGGATTTGTTTCCAAGATTATCTTCATAACTTATGTCTATTTTATAATGAATCAACTGTCCGGGTTTGTTTTCTAAAACCTTTCTTGCAACGAAACAGATGGCCCTAGAATAGCCTCACATTCCCTGCTGTCCAGGATCTGGCACGCTGACATAGCCAGTGTTTTATTTTTCTAGATTTAGACCTAATGAGCAATCCTGCAAGGAAAATCAAACTGCCATAAAGGTGAAGTTCAAATGATGAAAAAACACAGGGATCATGATGTTTAAAATACCCACCTCTTTTTAATATCAGTTATAATCTTGTAACTATGCAGAAAATGCTCTGGGGCTAACTGGAAGCTGAGCAAAAGCTAATGGCTGCAGTATTTGATTAACCGAGATACTCAGCCCCATGAGGTATATTGATTTTCAAATGTTCAGATTGTGTGCCCTTTTGACAGCATTAGAGGCAGCTGTCTAAATCTGTGAAAGTCTGGCTTAAAATCTACACCATCCTATAAACATTCAGCCACATACCTGAAACCAAAAGTCACAGATTCTTAATTGGTTCATTGTGCGGACTTGGACATTGGTGCAAATTTATTACATTACATTTTCTTTCTATAGCAATGTTCACCAGCTATGCGGAAGAAAAGAGATGTCTCAGAGCATGGTATCGCCAGTGTAGTTTTCTGTTTCTCTACCTAGAGGTGGGAGCGTCTTGGAGGAATTAGGGTCGATATAAAAAAATAATAAACATTAGGGAAGGAGCAAAAGGGTAGAAAGCTAAGTCTTCTTTATATTTAAGAGAAAAATTTACGCATTTAAGAGAAGAAAAAACCCAACTGTTATCTGCCCACTCAGAGAAGTTGTCTGCTAACTATATTATGAAGAATTTGAGAGCTAACAGCTGAATCCTTTACAAATCAAGTCTCTTTCCTAGCCGGCCAGCTCACTGCAGAGATCGAAGACTCTATCCTACCTTGGGGTTTACAAAACACCTATAGTCACAGCACAGGTGCATTTAAGGAGAATGAAGCAGTAGAAAACCTGTGCAGATGATGTGTCTTGCCCATGGTCACACAGTTGGTCACAGCCCAAGATGTGTGAGCCCAGGTCTCCCAAATAACCACCTTTTGAGACTCACGGCTCAGCCACTTTTGCACCCCGTATATAATCCACCATCGGTCCCTGTCTCACCAGTTTGGCTGTAAGGATGCTATGGTGGCCCATCATCGAAAGGGAAAAGCAACCTTAGAAGTAAGTGGATCTGAAGAGGGAGGATTATATAATTCCCCTGTAGGGTGTTTTTTTTTTTTTTTTCCTGCTCTTTCACTGCTTATACGAGTGAATGAGTGGGTGAGTGAGAGACGGTTGCCTTCGCAGCCCTGGCAGAGTATGGTAGCCCTTCTCACCAGCACATCCGCTCCATGCTTGCGACGGCAGGCAAGGGAGTGCCCACAAGCCCAGGGTTTGACTTGCTGTTTTTTTTTTTGTCTAACCAAAGAGCTTGAGTTTGAAGCCAGACCTGGCTGCCCTTCGTGACACGACGTGTAGCTGTGTTTGGCTCCACATCATTACGAGAGCTGTGGCAAATCGCTTTATGCTGTTCCGAAAGCCGGGTGAGCAGTGCATTCCCTAATGCGTCACACGCAAACCGTATTAACAAGTACTGGCTCATGCTGAGAGCCCTGCCTGTCCACTAATGGAAACATTAATGGGGAACATGAGAGGTATTTTTCATAATTATGCTGCTGGAAAAAAAAAGATCACTTACCTACGGGGTTCAGTATGTTCTCCCACTTCCTCGCACAACCAAAAATACCTCCCTAAAACCTGCTGCTGAAAGCTCAGCCAGATGTTAGCCGAGGCTGGCTCCCGGCCCCCTGCCACTGGTTTCGTTTCTTCTGGTTTCTCCTGTGCTCCCTGGCGCACTCAGCGCACCCTCAGCTCCCAGGGCATTTGGGCAGTGCTCAGAGGCAAGGCACATTTCTCAGTTCAAAGGCACAGCATCAGCTGAAGGCACAAGCCATTTGGAAGGGTATTTCTTTGGAGTTTTTCCCAAGTCCACCCACTCCTACCATCCCAACAATTTGTGATGGTAGATTTTGCAACGGCACTTTCCTGTCTTGGAAAAGGTTTCCTGCCTATCCTATTGCTGGATCCACAAGGGATACAGTGAAAAGGAGCATGAATAATTTCCATGAAAAATATAAAGGAACTGAAAAAAAAATAGTGGAATTGTGTTTTGCCATTTCTCCATGCAAACAGAGATAGAAACCGTCAATAAAGATTTTGGGTACCACTGTGGACAGAAGTAATTCCATGCTGCCTTGAAAAGCCTCCCAGGGAGTGGCTCAGCAATGCCGAGGCTTTGGCAGCGATACCTGCCTAAGAAAACAAAATCACTCCTTTTTCATGGGCCTGTTTTAAACCCTGCTGGGGTTGCTGCTGGCCCCCAAACGCTGTATGTGTCAGCACAGAGGGTGGCTGAGGCATTGCAGCAGAGGGCAGAAAAAAAAGGCAAGGTCTAGAAGACCTGCTTCTGGTAAAGGCCCCGTACTGCAGAGTCGTGGCTTCAGACAGGAGGGCTGCTAGAAATGATGTGGCAGTTGGCTTCATTTATAACAGCTGCAGTTGCTTACAGTATGGAAATTAAATATTTGTAAATGGATAGCCAGGTTATCTAAATCGTTTTCATTTCAGCCGCATCATCTCCCCGCTTGTCCCCTGCCTCTCCCCTGAAATAGTTGAGTCTTTGCGTTTTCTGACTAGCGGCAGTGTACGATTTGGAAGCACATCAGAGCGCTGAGGATAGCTTGTCATGCTCCCCGTTAGGCTGGAACTTCAGCATTTCTGAAACGAGTTACAAATACTTGCTGGTTGAGGTAAACGCACAAGCTGTCAGCGGTTGCACACAACTGTCTTTTGCAAGCCAGCCGCTGAGAAGGACAAGCGTGTTATAAACCGCGCTCCCAACAGCTCTTAATGAATTCTCATCCGTTGCCCTTTGCGCAGTCCTTCAAGGGAAACCGGCTCCACTGAGGAGCAGGGTTCGGCCTCTGGGGAGCAAGAAAGCCTGGGGACCTCTTTGAACATTATCCACAGAGGCAGAAGAGCCAAACGGCAAGGATGAGCACCGTAAGGGCAGCAGACGCTACTCATCTTTCCGTTCTTGTTCTGGCCCAGTGGGTACAGAGCCTTAACTCTGTGTCACCTTGAATCAAAGTAAGGCATTGTATTCCAGCCCCAACTCCCCCAGATACGCCCTCAGGAATAGCGAATGTTTTCCCCTTCAGACACTTCCAGAGCAGACCCCAGACCTATTTCTTTCCCAGTCTTCCAGGGAGCCAAAACCCCTTGGTGCCGCAGGCGCTGTACCGCCGGCAAGGCTGCGGGCGGGCGCCCCGGGGGCGCTGCCCGGCCGCCTTTCTCT